GGATTGTGGAGTCCAAAACTGGATGCAGTACTCGAGCTGAGGCCTCACCAAGGCTGAGTACAAGGGGAGAACAACATCCCGGGATTTGCTTGAGAAGCATTTATGGATGCAAGCCAGCGTTTTGGTCACTTTAGTAGCTGCAGCTTTGCACTGCAGGCTCATGTTCATCTTGTGGTCAGTGATGACCCCCATCACAACCTTCCAGTCTGTGGGTCACATAAGTGGCATGGGCCCAGTTCACAGGCCAGATTCTGTGGGTCAGGATGTCAGTCCACACTTTGTGGTCTGGTGCACTGGCCTGAACCCTTCATGTGCAAGCTGGCCATGGAGCAACCCTGTGTGCTGGTCCAGCTCTGCACACTAGATCTGGCTATGGGGCCCTATTCTCTGGCCTGGGTCCAGAAATTTGGTGGCAAGGAAGCCATGGCAGCATTAATTTTCACAGCTTCTAGAGCCATGGCAGTTAACACTACCACTGTTCCCTCACTACCAAATTTTGGCTCACAGGCTGAAGATTGTACACTACTTGTTTAAATCGTTGCCCAGTACCTCTAGTTCATGCCTTGCAACATTTTTGAGAGACAGTTCTACATGGCTGTGACTTGAATATATGATAGGGTTGAAAACCATCTTGAAGTATGTAATAGTTACATAAGTGTGTTATTTATTACTGTTCATTTATAGAACGCTTCAAAATGTGCAGTTCAGAGAAAGTCTTAATCATGCCTGGCCCCCTTTGGAAGGTATCTGAGATAGTGAGCGATCAAAGCAATATAAACTTAAAGAAACTGAGAGTTTGGTTGTTTGTTGTTTTAGTTGTTTAACCTTTAGCCTCTCTTGCTTCCATGGAAGATGTATTACTTTATGTATTTGATCTTTTTTTTTTTTTTTTTTCATACCAAACCTTTTGGAAAAAGGTGTGGCACCCTTCTTCCCCACTTTTTTTTTTTTTTTTTTGCATACCAAGCCTTATGGACAAGTGCTGTGACACTATCATGCCAATCTTCATTTAATTTGATACTCTTCTTTGTTTAAAGAAATAAAAGGTCCACTTATTTATGTGGTAGCAAATTACGTTTTTCTAGTCTCAGTTGAGATCTGAGCTAAATTGTGCTTCTAACTACCTGATCCTACCTGCTACGTTTCATCAACACACAAAAGTTTTGTTAAATCACGCTCTACCATGAACTGTGATGAAGTCGTACAGCCTCAGGTGTCAATTGATGAATATTGAATAAAACCAAACCATCTGAGAGAACTGTTAAAAGGTGTAAATATTCAGTGTCTTTGCAGTGCTGAACACTGTTTGCCATTGGAGTTGGTGGTTCTTTAGGTTTCCTGTACTCTGAGTCATGGGACTTCAGAGGGGAGACATAGACTGTAAGCAGCAGTAGTCTGAAGCAGTGGTTCTCAAATGTTTTGAGTTACACACTTACTAAGTTTGTGCTACTATGTATTATTATGATTAGTTATGTTTTGCTTAATAAAAGTAACACTTTCACAACAACCATGCCAATTTCTCTAACCATTGTAGAGATACTGTCAAGTTGTTCTTTATTATTTGTGCCTCATTATTCATTTATGCAGTAAATTCTCACTTAACTTTGTCCCGGTTAACATTGTTTCGTTGTTACGTGACTGATCTATTAGAGAACATACTTGTTTAAAGTAGCGCAATGTTCAGTTATAACGTTTGGCCGCCGCCTGCTAGTAAGTAACTAACTGCTTTGTAACGTAAGCCAAGCGACACTCCTGCTTCGGTGTGGCAGCCATTGTTGTTTACGCTGTGTTGGTACAAGTATTTCTGGAACATTTCATAGTTTCATAGTTTCTAGGGCCGTAAGGGACCTGAGAAGATCATCTAGTCCGACCCCCTGCCATGGCAGGAAAGAGTACTGGGGTCAAACGACCCCAGCAAGGTGTTCATCTAGCCTCCTCTTAAAAACCCCCAGGGTAGGAGCCAGCACCACCTCCCTTGGAAGTTGGTTCCAGACCCTAGCCGCCCTGACCGTGAAATAGCACCTTCTGATGTCTAACCTAAATCTACCCTCTGCTAGCTTGTGACCATTGCTCCTGGTCACTCCTGGCTGTGCTAGGGGGAACAGTGACTCCCCCAATGCCTTCTGATCCCCCCTGACCAGTTTGTAACAGGCCACAAGATCCCCCCTCAGCCTTCTCTTGTGGAGGCTGAACAGGTTCAGGTCCC